TGGCTGTAGTGGTGGTAGGGATGCTGGCTTCCTGAGACCTTACTGTGAATCAGGAAGTTTGGTTTTTATCTTCCCCTTTTACAAGAAGAGGACAAGTTGTTGGTTTTTTCCTGTGATATCTATGAATTGAAAAGTTAATGAAGTAAATATGCTTGCAAGGTTATACCTGTTAATAGTGGTTTCTTGAAGTTTAAAATGTTTTGGTAAAGAACTTGATGAGTTTTTTTTGGTTTGAGAAATATTTCCTAATTAGGAAATTTGGTGATGGACGGGAAAGAGTTTTTAATACTATTAATTATTTCATTTCTATTTAAACTTATCAAAATAATAATAATATTAAGAAAACTAAAGTAATTTTATTTATATTAAGTATAGCTATAGTCAATATTTTTTTAGTAATTTATAATATTGTCTAATAATGTTTAAAATCATTAATAATCAAGATAAAAAACAATAAGCAAATTCTTTAAGAAGTTTTTAATACTTTAAAAAAAAATAACCAAAACAAATTATATATTGGTTATTATAAGAATTAAAATCTTTAATACTCAAAAATTAATTTATTTCTAATTAATCAAATTAAAGTCCAGGCTAAAATTAATAGAATTATAAATTAAAACATTTTTTTTTATATTAATTAAAAATTCTAGATGTAATAGTATTAATAGTAAAGTGAGTAATATTAAGTGAATCATATAAGTGATATAAACAAGTCAATAGAAAAAGCAAAGTAATTGGAACATTATATTTCTCTTTATTTTTTTTTTAAATATTTGAATTAATGAAATTATATTCTATAAAATATTTAGATATATTTCACATTCTGTAATAATCAAAACTTGAGTTAAATAGATTAATATTATTAGTGTCTAATAATATATTAACAAAATCTTTAATATTTATCTTATTTGACTAATATAGATTACAGAATAAGTTTTATATATATATTATTTATTATTTATTTATTATTTATTTTTATTTTTTTTAAATTCTGTATTTTTATTATATTTATTTATATTGAAAAAGTATATACATATTTAAAAATGATCTTTTTTTGAAAATAATAAAGTTGTCTAGTTTCTTTCATATTTAATAAAACTTTTTTTTATTAATTATAAACAGTATCTTATTTATAACTTTTTTAATATAAAAATATTATATTAAAATAAATAACATCAATTTAGATATTAAAAAAATTTTTTTTTATAAAACTCTTTTTATTGATCCTCTTGTCAATTTAAAAATAAATCTTTTATAAAAAAATATATTTTTTTGTAATAAAGTCTATATACTTTTCTTGATAATATTATTATTTTAAAACTTTAATCTCTTTTTACTTGTTTCTTTTTTTCTTTAAAATAAAACCTCTTATATTTTTGCAATATAAGAAAAACTTATCAATAAAGTCAAAGATAAGAATACTTTATTAAGAAAAAGAACTTGTAGAAAAAATATATTCTTTCTTTCTTTCAGAAATTCAAGACTAGAAAAGATAAATACAGATTTTTGAAATTCTTTTTTATATTTCCTAAGCTTTTCTTCTATCTTTTTAAGCACGTAAACTTTTTCTAGTTTTTTTGAAAAATTTTGCTTATTTCAGTTTGATTCTGAATTTTGATTATACAAAATTCTTGAATGATAATTGGCTCAAAATTTGAACTAGTTGATTGACACATAACAAGAAATGTAAACAAGACATGTAAATCCCAAATGTCTTATTTTATACAATAATAAATCCAATAATATTATTGGACACAATGAAAAGAGCAAGATAATAAGATGTTTCTCTTGTTAAGGAAGTGTTATAGTACTTTTCTTTCTCTTTTTGAACTGGTTTTTTTTTTCAAAACCAAAAAAAGTTTTATCCAATTCAGTAAGAAACATTTTTCATTAATGATTATCCTGAGAAAATATTAGATAATAATTTCTTTTAGATATAAAATTTGTTTTAAGATATAATTTTTTTAGATTATAAGTCTTGCTATAAGTACTTTAAATATTCTTGGTCAGCAATGAAGTAATGAAAGATATGCAGTTATTCTTTCAATGAATACTTAATAATTAAACTTTAAAAACATTAATATAGATAATACAAAGTTTCTTCTAAAAAATAAAATAATTGATATTTGATTGATACCTAAAATATTGCTTAAACAATGCCTTTCTGAATGCTATATCAATAATACGGTAAAAGTTCTTTACATTGGAAATGCATTAAATTTCATAAATGGAATGCCGCTTTATGTGATATAAAGAAAGATAATTGGTATTCACAATGCGAAAAACTTAATGTTATTATTACTAAAGAATTGTGCTTTAAAAAGTGATATTTGTCTTTCTGAAAACATATAAACACTATACACCGCTTTTCTGGCAACATAAAAAAAAATGAATAGCAAGTTCCTTTGAAATTATGATTCTTGGTATCTTGAATGTGTAATATAATAGATGCTTGAAGGTTGGTTTAGATTTAGCTAAAATTATAGCACAATTTAGGAATAGCAAATGAGTATATTAAAATTTACATCCCATTATAATAAAGATGTCATCAAGGACATATTTGGCATGTTATTTTTAAATACAATAAAAAATTAAAATTCATGGTGTCCTCAATATGCATGATGTTTTAAACTTAATATTGACATCGCTAAAGAAATTGCACTTAAAAAGATGGAGAATATTTATCAAAAAAATATATTGATATACAGTATACTCTTTGCTTTTATGGAAATATAATGAAGGAGACATTAATGGTATACAAGTCTTCAAATGTGTAAGAAAATTTGGATACATGGTGTCCTTGTTGTTTGGATAATGCAAAATTTTCTATTGAGGAAGCAAGAAATATTGCGACTGAAATAAAGAATTATTTTTTCTGAAATGTATAATGGTGCACATAAATATGCAAATCTGGATAAAGTAAAAAATTTAGATACGTGGTTTCTATTTTGTTCATAGAAGAAACAAGAACTCTGTAAGGAAATAGCAACGAAATTATGAAGCCGCTTTCTTCCATAAAACCAAAAGGATTTCAAAAAGCATTTTGCACGATATCAGCTAAAAATGAACTTTGTGATAAAAATTGAATGTTATTTATTGAAATATAGTATTATGAAGACCCTAATATAGTGATCCTTCGAAAAACTTAAAAAATTAGGTCTTATCTCTTAACTAGTACTGTTCAATTATATATTTTGCTTGAACAAACAATAATTTGAATCCAATTATTTTGTGTAACTTATTATCGAGTAATCTTAACCTGATTAAAATACAATCAATGACGATATCGTTTTTCAAAAAAAATGATTAATCGAATTCTGCCTCTAGAAAAAAAATTTCCAAAGCGTAAAAAACTCTCTAAAAGAGAAGTGAGTAAACAACACAAATATGGATTACGTTTCGCCCAGTATTGACACGTATAATAGTTTTCTATATAGATAGGCTGGAATTTGTCGGTGGAAAAAATTGATGCTTTCTTCGAACGTCACGATACACGTGGGTATAAATTTGATATCGATTTAAAGGGAAACGTATTTATAGTCGAGTTGGAAAAGGCAGAACGCTTTACAGTTATCGCAGAGCTTCAAGCATATTTTGGAGTGCCTAACGGAGGAGTTATCATTAATCCTCCGATAAATGTTATATGTAAAGCAGGTATGAAAGATTCCTTTGGGTTATTATCAACTTTATCATTTTCTCATTCTATAATAGCTCATTATAAACCATGTGGAAAGGGAAAACTGCCGGCACCCGACATTGCCATATATCCAAGTTTGAGAATTATTCCGAAGCCACAAATTCCAATTCCAATTACACCTCCATCTTCACAACGTAGACTAAGATTTTGTAGAACTGCTCGAAGAACTTCCCGATATACTGAGATTCCCCCAGTTGACAAATCGGTTGGTTCTGTCATATCAGATTTTGTTATAAAATTTCCCTAGTCTTGACGTAATTAATTATACTTTATAGGGAAGACCCCACGCAAGAATCATGTGCGAAATTGCAGTATCGCAAAGTTACGGGGGTCGAAATGGTTGGAATGAAAAATGTAGTCATTGGATGCAACAGCAATATGTAAGATGCGTATTCGGAGTTAAAATTTACAGTCCAAGATCTACACGAAATGCAAACGGACAGTTGGATCGATGTATGATAGTACGTGTTATAAGGTCTATTTATTATTCAATGATTTCGAAACTTTTAAATTTTTCTATTTCTGATCTTAGGCCAGACTCTGGACGCGTCAGGCAGCATCGGTACCGGGAAGTCACATAGCAGTAGCAGGATAGGCAGAGTATATTATGAAGAGGTAAGATTAGCACGCTATTGATATTATTGCAATCAGTTCAAATGGCAAATATCTGATATATTACTAAATTTTTATAGTGGAATTTTGGTACTCTTGATTACTATACTGGTGCTCCTACTGCCTGTACGGGACCAGGTCTTGTTGATTATCAAGTTAATATTCCAACTCGAGATGTATTTTGGAATCCGCTCATCGTCGGGGGAGCTCCTTCCACAGCTGGGTATGTCATCACCGTCCCTAATGACGTTACTGCTCCTAAATTTATTATAGATTTGTTCCAAATCCAACAAGTCGTTTTAGCAAATCAGGATAATTAGAAAATACATAAACTATTAACCAGTACTTTTTAAAAAAAACTTGTATGTATAATGATCATGCGATATAAAAAAGAATTATTCCTCCCATCAGACTTAATTTTACCTCCTAAATACAGTATATTAGACTTACCTCCTCTTTCTTCTACTTATGATTTGTTCGAAAGAATTACTTAAATAATCATCTACTGTATTTCAGCTCTATTATAGACCATAAGCCAGTCCGTTCGTGAGTTCTTTTTCTTTTCTTCTTCCTTATTATCCGGTCTGTCATCTATAAAAAATTTTGTTAAATAACATAATGCGAATTTGAATTGTCCACGTTTGTCAAACTCCTTTTCAACCGATTTCCAAAATGGCCTTCTTTGACCCTCTAACGTTTTTCTTATATCACTTCCAATGATACATAGGAATACTTGCTTTATATATAGAAATGGCTTATCTTTTAGTGCTGGACCCAAGCTTTGCTCTCTAAATACTATACTTTTTCATTATCTCCAGTGATCATACTGGGACATTCAAATTCTTTATCTGTTTGGTTTGCTTCCTGATATACAGTAATTGTGTTTTAGTAAGCTTGTTTTCTGATTGTAATATTTGAGATTTTATTTTGGCTTTATTTGAGATATGTTCAGTATTAATAACCTTTTCAGATATGATAGTCACCTCACTCTGTGAGTCAATTTGTAATAAATCATTGTGGAGAACTTGAAATGCTTTTAAAGTTATCTTTTGGTGATAATTTACTAGAGACAGTAATACTGTGATTAGAATTTTGATTTAAATCAGTTTTTAAACTAGTGTTTATAATCGGTTTAGATAAATAATTCCTGGGTTTAAGATAGAATTATTGGTGAAATATTAAGTCTACATGAATTTTGGTTAAGATGCATCTGAAATTTTTGAGTTGTTGAGCATTCATGACCACAACGTTTACAGATTATATCTTTCTTATCATGTTTTCTAATGTCGTGAGTAAAAAAGTAGGCACAGTAACGTGACACGCCGCCGCGTCACGTAATTAGTGTTGTTGTGAGGGAACGGTGGGAAATTAGTGTGGGAGAATTTAAGGGTGGGAATTTGACGATCAGATGTAAACATGTAAATAGGTGCATGTATAAATACATGCGCAAATCAGTAGCATGTAAGGAGGTTTTTGGGATTAGAGTATAAGATAGAACGCATTAAGTAATAAACAATAAAGTACTGTTTAAAGGATAAACTCTTACCTTGTGTTTAGTGTGCCAAAGTAGACTTGTAACTTGGGCTACGCGACTACAAGAGAGAACCGAGAGTTGCCTAAGGGAATTGGCATTGGAAGGCTTCTAGGCTAGTCGGTAGAGAAGTTAAAGTGAGAGAATGGCCAAATCATAAACACGCCTCAAGAGTTAGAAACTTACCTTATTGTGAACCGAAAGCGACGACCAGTGGTGTGGGCTTGCCGGAGAGCCCACGACACTAATCATGATGTATGCTCTAATAATTGTTATTAAATTACTTATAAATTTTTCTTTAATTAATAATTCCCTGTGGTTTTTTCAATTCCGATAATAAGGCTTACTGTCGAAAAATTTTATTTTTAGCCTTGCCAAAAATATTTAATAACTATCTAGAAACTCACTTCACTCGTCTCATTCATATTCACCTAAAGCTCAGATACAGAGTGTCATGATTCGCAGTGTTCAGAATAAATTTAAAACTTCTATAAACTAATTAGCTAGACTATACTCTGCTTTATTTCGCATCAGATGTTCTTATTCACTTAAAGGTTCGTGTTCATAACCTTGAATAGGTAGATAATATCAATAATTTTCAAAAAAATCTTTACTTTCTTTGTTAAAATGATTTTTGAAATAGTTTTTGATATATGATTTTCAGTAGACTTAAATTTCCGGTTAGGTTTATTAATACTTTTTATATAATTTTCCATTAGAAATATTAGTTATACAAAATCCACCTAAATATTCATGTTTACCGTTTGATTAGATTTATTTATTCCAACTTTTTGCTATTTATAAACAACTTCTTAGTAATTTTTAAACTAAATGAGGCATATATTTTTTTCTTTTCTAAAATCCCTCCAATATACTGTATATACTTTTTCGTTAGATTTATTGAATGTAATGCTACTTGGTATGGATTTTAGCTTGTTGGAAGAATATTACAATTGGAACAGGACTTTGGTCCTTTACCACGTTTCTTCTTATTTTTAATGATAAAACAAGTAGTATAAATATATTAATAAAATCCAATCAAAAATGTTTCTGTAACCAAATTTTTGAATAATATCATTTTAATTGTGGAAAATGCATTTTTCTACCTTCTTTTTGGCTAAAAATATTAAATAATAAGAATATACATAAAAATATAAAGCTCAAAAAACAAAGTGCTCCATGTGACTTTTTTCAATCTATTTGATTTTTCATTAACAAAATATAAGCATTATGCTTAAATGAAAAATATACTTATTAATAAACTAGTATTATAAAAAAAAAGATGTAATTTTCCATGTGATTTTATATCAGATATCACAATAAAAATAAATATAACAAGAGAATAATTAAAATAAAGAAAATAAAAAGAATAATTAAAATTATTAAAATTATTAAAATTATACATGTGTTTGTATTACTATATAAAAAGATTTAATTGACAATATAATTTCAAATTAAATATGATTTTAATTGTTTACTATATATACTTAATAACTTTATTATAAAATAATTTTTAAAAAATATTTAAATTCAATTTCATCATATATATAATTGAAATAATTACAATATATATATATATGCTTGGATTTTATAATAATAAAAGCAAAAAATATATATACTGTATATTCAATATATAAAATTTATTAATATAATAAATCTTTATATATTTGGTTTTTTCAATATTATATTTTCATTTCACCTAACTTATAAATAAAATTAATCAAATTCAATTATTCTTTTTACCTACAAAACAAAAAAAAATATTATTAATAATAACATAAATTATGTAACTAAATAGTACAAAGTAAATTTACTTGACTACTATATAATATGTTATAATCAAACTTGCATATACAGTACTAGTTATAAGTACTGTATAAAGAAAAATCAATTCAAATTATAAACTTTATATACAATATCAAAAAAATCTTATAAGAAAAACTTTGAATTTACTTACTTGATATTAATATAGTCTTTGACTTTGTTGATTTAAATATGTTCAAAAAAATTATGCAAAAACTTTATATCTCAGATTTTTTATTAATCTATTTTTTAATATTTTCATAAATTATACTTGTCAAATAATTATCAACTCAGGATTAACTGAACAAATAATTATTTTTTATGGAATTAATTAAAAAAAATTTTTTTTTCTCTAGTAAATTATTGTCTATAATTTTCTTATCACAGTTTTTATATAAAAAATTTTTAATTTTCTGATCAATACAATTGCATATATAAATAGAATCAAATAGAATTAACTCTTTCCGCTGATCCTTTTGCCAACCCAAAAAACAAACGTTCTCAAAAAACTTTTTGTTTTTATGATAATAAA